CGTAGGTAGTAGCATTGTTTTACAGCTGAAAGGAGCTCAGGGGACTAGCCAAGGTTACTCAGGGGGGGTCGGTGTCCAAATCAGGAGCCTTGCTCCTAAGCACCTGCTTCTTGGCCTCTGCCCCATGGGAAACGCCTGCCTGGCCCTGCTGCTTCGGTTTCTGTCCTCCTCTCTGTATTTCCCCATCGGGGTTTTGCAGGGTAAGCTCCGGAAGCCTCCTTCCCACCGAGTGAGAGGCCCGCTAGTTCCTCCTCTCAATTTCTGCCCCCCAAATACAGAGACTTGCTCTCTTCTCCTGCTCTCCCTCCCCCTCCTCCTTCCCCCAATCTTTAACCTCACCTTTACGTATTCCCGTGGCCCTCATTAACCCTCAGGAACACAAGAATCCCAAGAGAAACTCAGAAATCTGGACTTATTTTAGAAATGCTTTTCTAGAGCTCAGTGCTAACAGTCTCTTCCTCCCCCTGCCCAGCTATCCCCGTCATCGCGGCTGACATCACTGCGCACCTGTCCTGTGCTAGGGACGTGCACAGCCCTTCACGTGGGTCCTCCCTCTTCCTGCGAGACAGGAATGACCTGGCCCATTTTACAGTGTCCGTGGTCCTACAGCCAGGAAGTAGCAGAGCCCCTTCTTTTGAAGCCAGCATAGCTGAACTCAACGTTTGAGCCTGGATGCCTGACTGTCACATGCAGTAGCTTAGCCTAGGTCCCTAGCGTTCTAAGTGAATTGGATTTTAGGGGTTGTGACTGTGAGTGTCTGTCCACCTCCCAGTAAGAAGCTTTACAAAACTCTGGCCGGGATTCCTCTAAGCTTCCTTCTGATACGGCTTTACGAAGTTCCGTTTTGCCCTTTCCATCTGAGTGAGTCTAAATCTGTCTGCCAGCCTCACGGCCTCTCAAGTTTAGTTAACCAGCACGCAATGTGCATTTGCTGTTTCACTGGTGTGAAATTAACTGCCTCTTTGCGGTGTGTCTAAACCACGCATTATTCAAACTTGGGCACACACACACCACTTCCTTGGTCAGTGGAGTACACTGGAGATAAAAAAGAGGAAAAAAATTTTTGTTATTGTTTAATTGAAGTGTTTCATATATGTGGTAATCACAGAGGACTCATTTTAATTCAGATCAAAAGGCTGAATGACAGGCCTGAATAAAAGCTGGCCAGTTGTACTATATAACATTCTGACTTAAAAAGACAACCAAAAAACTAACATGTACATGCTGTACATTGTAGAGCAGTTAATAAGGAAAATGTATAAATGATTATAAATTAATTAGTTCAAATGATTAATTAGCTTTTATTAATGGGATAAATTACGACTACACTGGCTTCATGGAAGGTAGGGGCCACTTTAGGGATTCAGTGGGACTTCAACCTGCTCTGCTGGATCTAAAAGCAGGGATTTGCAAACTTGACAGTTAGATAAACATCAGCTTATAGGGGAAACTAATCATTCAATGTTTGCTCAGTTCTGCAAGGAACGGTGCAGTCTTTCTTAAGATAGTTTTAGAAATTAAAGAGCCCTGGATCTTTTGGAAGCATCTGCTTTTTAAGGTTTCAAAGATATTTTTAATATATTTCTCTTTTTCTTGAAGCTCCAAAAGTCACAATGTTCCTAATAAACTATCAAAAGCTGTTGGTCATTCTCCTCCAGTCAATCTTATTTTAAGCCTCAGCTGGCGTTCTCCAAATTCAAATACTGAAGTACTGTGAGCTCCAAACCTCCCTCGAGGGCACTAAGAGATCACACACTTGGCAGACCCTGTTACTCCTTGTGGTCAGAGCTCTCTTCTTTCATGCAGCCTCTTCGCTTTTACTGTGCTAAGTGTTCTGGTGGAACTCAATTTGACCTGTTACCAGGAACCTAGTCACATCCAAAAATGCTACCAGAGAGGACATGTCTTTCTGTTGTGCTGATGAGTACGCTGGAGAAGCCCTGGGGAATGCAGGCCTTCATGCTGATATTATTAAAATTGTCACAGTTCCTGGAAAATCTTCTTCCACATGTTGGTATAGGTCTCTCTCTAGCACAGGAATCGACAATATGTGTTTTGCGATGCCTGGATTAATAAACGAGGGACATACTGACATTCTAATAGTATTTCAGAAAAATTAATATTAAATTTATATAATTTAAAATATAAGTTTACATACTATTTTCTTTCTGACTCTCTCTGGAGAGAGGCCTATGACTAAACTGAAAAACACTACTGCTATTGTATTTGTCCAAAAGTGACCAGGGCTAGTGGATTTTAGAAATCTGGACACCCACAGAAAGTGTGAAATTCCAGGATTCTGGCAGTAGAACCAATAGTTTTTATATTAAAATATCTCCTGCCACCAAAGTTGGAATGGAATTTTAACATTAACTATGGATGGGGAATCAAAAAACTACTAAAACTATACTAATTTCAAACAATAAAACAGATATGTGTACATTAAATCGTTAAATTTTAAGTCAGTATCTGTGACCATTTCAAGCACCAAGCAGCTTTCCAGCTCGCACAACCTGAGACTAAAAATTAATCGTTCTTTTGTTTCTTTCTATCTTGGAGAATAAAAATACCTGAGTAATTCTTTTTAAAAAATATGCAATCTAAATATTTTTGAATATTTAAATGCATCTACACATTTAATGGTATATTGACATACATATTTTAAATATACACAGTACAGACACAGAGATACACACACACCAGTACAATAGATACCAAAGGTTCTTCTAAGAAATGTCATCTGTGAGCTGATTCAAAGCATAAATAACGGACAAAAATTTCCTAATATTTAGGTGGAGATCACAGGAAGACTGCGTGGCGCTTTACACAGTCACTTAATACTCAGAAGCATATTCTTTAACCTAATAATAGAAATGTCATCAAATTTCATAACGCAATGAAATAAAAGTGATTTCTTACTGAATACTGGGAAAGATGTATTTCCTTTTAACACTTGGAATTCTTGCTCTAGTCGTCTCCGTAAATCTATTTGTTCAAATAAAACCTTCTGAAGTTCTTCTAATAAAGAAAAGAAGAGTCATTTTACTAATCTTTACAAATAACTCTCCAGAGAACTGTTACATATGGCAATTTATTATTATAAGACGAAATATTTTACCAGTTTAAAAAGTGTTGCATAGACATAGGATAGATTTTGTGCAGAAATCCATGAATATAAATCAATGCAATATATTATTTTAAAGTATTATATTACAGTGTCATGTATTGATTGATATGTATGCATTAATCTCAATTATATCCACCCAGTGGTCCATATATTATTCATATGTTGCTTGTCAAGCTTAAAATACGGCGTAGAACAAAAATATCCTCCTGTTATCTCTCCAGTCTTTTAAAGCTAAGAGAAGTTCCACAGAATTAAAACTTTTCTTTACCTTTCCCCATATTTTCTACATCCTTTTTGAGTGAATGAGGTGAATTCGTTTCTTGTGTGTGCTCACCTTAAAAAAAAAGAGAGAGAAAAAATATTAGTTTGCGTGGGCTGTTTTCGGAAAGTTTTTCTCTTCGTTTTGTTTTAGTATCTATGAAAGACCTTATAATTTCCTCTGACTTGGGTGGCGGTCCTCAGAGCCAGGTGCCCTCATTTGCTTGCACCGGTCCCCAGAGCAGCCGGAGGAACCGGGGCCCAGCGCGCAGCCTGCAGGGCCGCCCGGAGCAGAGTCCAGAGGCGCCCCTGTCGCAGCCCCCGGCGCTCCCTCCTGACAGCGCGGGGACTTGCCAGGACGGCCAAGAGAGGAGGCTGAGCGGCCCACATTTCTGGAAGAAATCCGGTAAGAGTCCCTCTCCCTTCAGAAGTGAAGAGGTTTGCTGACTACTGGAAGGCGCCCCCAAAACCGTGGACTCAGAAGACTCCTTCCATCCTGAGCCTCAGAAAATTGGGGCAGTGAAAAAGGTGGGAGGAGGCTTTAGTTGTCCTCGGGACAGAATTTACAAGCCTGGAGCAATTTCCTAATAAGTGATAGGGTTTTTGTTTGTTTGTTTGTTTTTAAATCAACCTCAAACAGATATGTGAAATAGTTATATTACTTTGTAATATCCACATGCTTGCTGATAGTTTCTTAATTACTTGCCTTTAACCAATGAAAACTATATTGTGGGTAAAGGTTAGATTGGTTTTTTGACCTATTTTGCTTATATGCTAACCAGAATGATGGCAAGCTAAGACAATGTATTTATTTACACTCATAAATTCAGTCTACATAATCCAGAAAATAGAAATAAACCAAAGAAATCTAATCATTCAGCTAACCAGAATTATTCTGTTTTCACATTTCAATCGGCTATCTGCAACTATCCATATAATGCAATAAGCTTGCCAAAGAGGTGTGGCCGTACAGACAAAAATGCTCTGAGGTTTCATGGATTCAGCACCCCCAGGTTAGCTCCCTCTGTGTCCCTGGAGCTGTTTGCTTGCTTGCTGGCCTATCCCACTAGGTGGCATGCTACTTGGAGGCAGGGCTCTGTTTTTCCTGCATGGCCAGTGCCTAGCACAGCGCGGCACACATAACAGGTATTCAATAAAGTGCTTTCAGTTATCACTGAAAGGAACTCCAGAGGTTGTAAATTCTAAATTATAGCACGGGCCAGAATGCATCATTTCAATTCTCTCCTCACTATTTATTCATTTCCTTTCCTCAGCAAGAAATGGAATATAATGGCCCCAGGCACTTGTAGGAATACTGGGAGATTTCACTGTCAAGGTAAAATTTCTTGCAAAGAGGGAGACACAGTTTCTCCCCAAGGTAGTGGGGAGACAGGACAGTATCAAGGACAGACAGAAAAACCCTTAACATGATATTATAAATGGCGATTCTGCATTCCCCCTGAAGACTGTTGGGAGTACGTGTGGGCAGGTATGTGTGTATGCGTATAGGTGTGTGTATGTAAATACATATATGTAAAATATAACTATGCAAATAGTCCTACACATGTGCCTAGTTATGAGAAGGTGCTCCCCTGCTCCCCATCATTAGGACAAGAGTATTTTTGGCACCCGTGAGTTCCGTAACGGCAGGCATTTTCTCTACTCCCTAGGTCACACCTGGACAGCCCCATTCCCACTCTCACCGCGGATACGGCCTCTCTCTACAGGCTTCTGAACGTTCATACGTTGGCTTTCTTCTCCGCGTCGTAAGTATCTGTGAAGCATTCTAAATATAGGCCTCAATGTAATTCCTATAAAATACTAGTATGTAAAAGAAGAGTAGCATGAAGGTGTATAACAAATCACAAATATGTAAACCAGGAACAATGGTATCTTGAAATGCAGCTAACTGCGTATTAAGTGCAGTTTTGACGATGCTTGCTCTAGTCTCAGTAAGCCAGTTACTGCACAGACATTTCACACTCGTGCAATACTGAGTCGGAGCGAGAGGAAAAGCCAGAAAGCATGTGCCTCTGCATCCCTTTCCAGGGCGTAATGAAATCTGATCACTCTACAGCTTTCCCCAGCACTCGAAACTCAATTTAGGTGAGAAAGTTTGTTTCTGAATAGGCAACTCTAGAAGCCGAGTCCTTTTCACATTTTAGACCAAATTCTTTTTGCTGCAGTAGTATGTTTTGTGAACTGTCTATGGTATCGTACATTTCAATTAGATAATTAAATTAAAAAATTAAAAATATGATACATTAAAATGCATTTCTCTTCCACTTCACAATTAGGTTGCTTACATAGGTATGAAACCATTAAACAAATGGCTAGTAAATGGAAACTGTATTAACCACCGGCAAATCTGCTGATGACATTAATAATAAGCTTTTCTTTTCATCAGCTTTGTGGAGGTTTTATTAATATTTTACATCAGTGTCTATTTCAAAGAGATATTCTACTCCTTCTGAGTAAAAGCTGCCAATTTTAAGCTTAGATCAGAATGTTTCATATACAAAGGGTTTTTAAAAATAGTTAAATGCTAGGTAAGTAAGGAGCACAGACGCTTCAGCTGCCTTTTGTGTATCTGGACCGTTGCCTTTTGTATATTACTAATCTGTAAAAACCAGATTGTTAATGGTGGTTAAAAATGACCGCTGGGAGCTGGGATATGTTTGTTCACTATTACTGCTAATGTTTTCCATCTGGTTAACAAAAAAGGCAGTCTAATACTAGATTAAATAAATGAGATTTAGTTGACAACGAGCTTCCAATTTTTATAAATATTCCATCAGGTTAACGGCATTTTACTTTTCCAAAATTAATGAATGGCTTTAGAGACATCCAAAAATTAAAATGCTTACTTTTCCCCCCACTATATTCCTCCTTTTAAAAGTTACAAAAAGGTGGGGTGGGGGGTATAGTGATCTCAAGTGTATAGAGTTATGGGAGAGAAAATTATAACGTGGAAGGAACATCTTTCTTGGAAGCCTGGTCTAAAATATATCTTAAGTCAGACTGTGGAAGAAAACAGTCAGGTGGCTTACAGTTGGAGAGCAATGGATAATTACGGCATAAAATGCATCCTGTGGACTGATGTGACCAGATCTGCTGCTCAGGGCTGTGTCTACATCAGCAGTCCACACGTGCACGTCCTCAGGTCCAGTTCAATGGGACCTGCCTTGTTGCCTGTCAATTCTGCTCACCTTGGAGGGTAGAAGCAGTGTCATGTCACATAAGAGAAACTACATCTCTGCCAAGTGCAGTAGAGGCCAGAGAAATAGGAGTCACTTGGTCCCTGCTTCCCTGGTCAATTCAAGCTCCTCCAGCACCAGGTGGTCCCACACTCCAGGTGACTGTTCCACCCCACCTTTGCTTCTGCCCTGACACAGCCACCAGAAAACGGATGTACAAGAGGGACGCGTGTGAGAATATGCCACACTGAGGCAGACATGAGCAGCAAGCATCAGATGAGGAGACTGGAGTATCCAAAGGGGTGGGGTGGAGGGAGGTGGGGAAACTCCAAAAAACAGCCGATAGATTCATTAGCAGCACCTTCCAAAGTACAAGGGTAATTACTTTTTCTTAAATATCATGGCACATCTCTGCTCAAGAATGGCTCCCATAGTCTACACCACAGAATCCGCTCTAAACTGCTCCCCCCAGGCCTTCAGGTTCTCCCATAACCTTGTCCCCTCGTCTGAGCTGAGCTTTTTCTATCACCAAACACAAACCCTTTACTCTAGCTGGGCCTTTATTTCTCATATCTGCTGGCTCTACCTTACATTGTTTCTCTTGCCTGAAGTGCCCACACCCCTCTTCTCCCGGTCCATCCACGATCAGAATGCCACCCCAGTCTCTTTGCTTCCGTAAAACCTTTCCTACCTCCTGCAAATCCTGCTGATCCACTCCTTCCTGGGCTGAAGTTCTAGGGGCTGCCTGCCTTTACTCTGCCACTTTGTACCTGATAGCCTGGTGCTTTACAACAGATGCACGTCTAGTCTTCCCCAGGTAGAAAACCTGCTTTCTGAGGGCAGGAAGAGCCTGTCCTACAGGTAACCCCCATCGCCTCTACCCCAGGGAGGGGTACAAATACTTTCCACAAATACTGTCTGCACTTAATTCAGTCTGGTTTGTGAAAGAAATACACACTAGTGCTATTGTAAATCCTTGATTGTCATAATGGGTCTTTAAGCACTAACTCCTTCCTATGAATAAAAAAGCACACTTTGATTCATTGGTGTATTCTAAGGCTTCATCTATATTTTCAGTTTACTGGGGAAATGTGGATGTTTCAATTCTTATACCTATCTGACATTCTGAAATTTCTTTCAGAGATAAACAAAACGATAGCACTGAATTTTAACCAAGGCATGCAAATATTAATGTATATGTCTGGCACTGCAAAATTGCATTTAATTTTAAGAGTCAAATGAGTAGGTGAGGTGATGTGTACTGTTAGTGGTCATGGAACAGGAGGAAAAGCTGATTAAGTAGATATTACTGTCCTCAAGCTAAACTCAAATGCAATACATAAGACCATTTAAATATTGTACCTGGATGCATATAGGATATACTAAATATGTAGGGTACGATATGAAATTTGGATGGAGAGTACAAACTTTGGCATTCATCCATCCCTTCTATGAAAACACATTCTCTCTCCTTCCTTCTCCTGTCATCCCACTTGGTCTCCTATTCCTTGTCTTGGCTGTTTCCCTGTTAAATTCTCCCTTGACTTACAACCAGCATTCAGAGGCACTGCCCCAGCCAGCAGCCCCAGGGGCTAGCAAATTGCTTATCACTGAAAGGTCCTCTATGGTCCCCCAGGACAACACTTGATAGAAAACATTTGGAGAAAATATTTCCTTTTATAGAAAGAAAGTGTGTTATTTAATTGCACACTCCAAGATAAATTCAGTCAATGAAACTATTTTGGTTTGGGGCTGTGTCTGTATGTGAGATACATATGTACTCTAACATTGGGGTGAAGAATAAAAACTTTCAGTCAAACATCCAGATGCTTCCATAGAGGGTGGGGACTCCTGTGCTACCTACGGTGTTCTGGCGCAG